GAGAATTTTTTTTTGTTGTTTTTTTTAAATTTTTTTTTTTTTTTTTTTTTTTTTTTTTTTTTTTTTTTTTTTTTTTCAGGCTTACTCACCTGGACTCTTTTTTCAGTCACATCTAGGCGTCTTGCAAGGTCCCTTCTGCGGAGAGAGAACCACAAGGGTTCAGTATTTAGAGTTGGGCGATGAAATTAAATATAGTGTGCACATTTTGTGCTTATTTAAAATTTACACTCTCGGGAACCAGCAGTTAGCGTAATGGCCACATGCCCTATAGTGAAAATCTCTCCAAAAAAAAATGAAAAAAAAGAAAAAAAAATTTACACTGTCCTCTCACAATTCCCAAGCACAGTTTTCCCTCATTCCCAGCCCTTGGCTTGCTATACAAATGATTTGTTGTTATTACAAAACATATGGTGGCATTGTCAAGTCATTTTCAAGTTAAATTATTTTGAAAATTAATTATTTAATTCCATTTGTTATTATTTTTAATTTTTCGAGAGAGAAAGAGAAAAAAATGAGAGAGAGGAGAGAGAGAAATGGAAAGCAAGCTGCCAGGTTCAGGACTCAAACTGCGGTCAGCAATGTGGGAATCCAGTGCCTTTAACCACCATGCCACCTTCAGTCTCCAAGATAAATCATTTTAATGCACTGCTTAATAAAATCAATGCAAAATATAACTGAGTCATCAATATTTTAAATAAAGGATCCATCACTGCAACTTCATGACAGAACCTGAATCTCCCTAACCTCATTCAAATAAAATTTTATTAATCAGGTCACCAACACAGGCAATTAAAGAAAAATACATGAATTCGAGTATGTAAAAATTAAAAACCTCGGTGTCTCAAGAACAACAGATCACATAATGGTTACGTTACTGGACTCCCATGTAGGTGACTGCACCTCACGTCCTAGACCTGTTGGCTTAAAACTCATGCTGGGTGCATGTGCGTGTGTACCCCCAAATCTGAGAGGAAAATGGAAGAGAAGGGATTGTGACATGGCCATGCCCCCGGGGGTTGATTTCCTGCTTTCTTTTTCTCTGCGTTTCTCTGTCTCTCCCAGGCAAGTGCATGAGCCCTATACCAAAAATCTCTCTAAAAAAAAATCTCAGTGTCTGGGACCAGCAGGTGGTGTGATGGTTAAGGATGGTGGACTTCCACACGGCTGAATGGGTTCGAGTCCTGGACCTGGCCGCTTGCTTTCTCTCTCTCTCTCTCTCTCGCGCGCGCGCACGCGCTCTCGCTCTCACTCTGTCCCTCTCTGATCAAATTAAAAATAAATAAAGTTAATATTTAAAAAATTCTTTAAAAATAAAATCTCAGTGTCTAGAAGTACACAACTAACTGAGGGAAAGGTAATATTCAATTCAAGAGAAAATTGCAAATCATATTCTGGTAAGTGGCCAATATTCTGAATATCTGAAGAGCACCTAAGACCCCCACAGCAAAAAAAAAAAAAAAAAAAGAAAACAAA